GGCGCCTAGAAAGGACTAGAGTTGCCTGGAAAAGTCATGATCCTTCTAGAAACTCATGACGTGTTACCAGAGTCACGTGACTTCCACTGTCGTAACAGATCAATTTCTTTTTCTCTCTTTTGAGATTAGCCTATACCTATTATAAAGCTTTCCACAAAGCTACTAATTCTGCTGTAATTTAAGGATATGACCCCCGCTGGGTCAGTGGTAAGTTTGTCCTAAGGTTGGCTAATCGTTAGGGTGGAGTACAGCCTTGTTATAAAGTGAGATGAGGTTAAGCAAAAATTAATTCATGTGATCAATAGGATGGGCGACGGTCCCGAGATCAAGACATAATTGAAACTTCCCTGGCTAGTCTTGGCTCCTTCAAGACAGACTCAAAGATCAGATCTAAACTCTCCTGAAAAAGTACCAAAACTTGAAATCACGAAACACATCCTCTCTGCAGCTGACTAATATTAATAAAAAACTGACACAGAAGTAAGAGAGTATCCCTGTTCTATGTGAAACTTAAAGGTATCCTCATATACAAAGTCAAGCAGAACATAATGGAACTATCCCATGAAACGGAAAATAGTTCCTTGACTGGTCAAGTTACAAAGAGTAACATCTCAGGCTGCATTTTGCACACGATCTCAGCTAGATTTAGTATGTTACAAAATTAGTACTCAAGAGAAATTCAAGAACTTTGTAGATATTAAATATATCCAAAATAGTAGATTACAACCACACCCTTCAATTAACATCATTAAAAGATTACCAAAAGTTACCTTTGGCTAGTCCATACTACCCTACTGTGTGTTCATTCTAAAAACACAAACTATCAAACTTGTGGTTCGTGCTAAAATCAACAACTATCAGTGCCTTGTTTGATTGCTGTAGATTACAACCACACCCTTTAATTAACATCATTAAAAGATTACCAAAAGTTACCTTTGGCTAGTTCATACTACCCTACCGTGTGATCATTCTTAAAACACAAACTATCAAACTTGTGGTTCATGCTAATATCAACAACTATCAATGCCTTGTCTGATCTTCCCGATGCCTAAAATGTGAACACATGGATAAATGCACATTCATTACTAGACTAAAATGCAACTTTAACATCAGTCTTTCGCTTGTTTATCTGAATCCGTCATCCATTGCATCATTTGTGACCTATGTAACTTATTATACATATAGACAAAATAGGTCAAGTTTTAAAATAATACATTCTAAACAATTCAAAGTATTTACAAAAAATTTCATACACTATTGGTTATCACATTTGTATCTAGAGCTTTAAACAATTGTCTCTTTTCGTCAAAGTCCATACAAACAGATTCAATTACTTTAAACACCCTTGGACAAGAGAAATTATTCTTTTCTGACTCTGTTATTACAAAACAAGCTGTGATACTTTCACTTTAGAAATTGCTACTGTTTCACTTCACTTTTTTCACTTTTACTTTCATTAACTTACTTGCACAACAACTGAACTACACAACATATGATTGTAAACAGTTACATAATCAAACTTGCCATAACTATTGCTTCTAAAAATAATTTACTATAACGCTCACACAATATAAACTAAATAATACTCTCGTATTAAATTCAAAATGCACAGTCGTGTATATCTAATACGCAGACGAACCAATATTAGGCCGTTTCTGTGAAAAGTCACACAATATTTAACAGCTCATTTTTTAATGTGTGCCCCCCCCCCCCCAGTTAACGGTTGTTCACGCAGGCCTGAAGAACATCGTCTTATTTGCATACCTGGCACCATTTCAGTTTAGACCAAACTTTTTTTACATTCTCTCACAAACACATAGATACGGAAAAATCTCCCCCTCTAAATTTTTTCACATTTCAAAAACTCAGTTGGGTTATTTGTATATGATTGTTGTCTTTACACGTGTACCTACGTTTATATACTTATCTACATATATAACAGTCCAATGTCTGTCTGTCACATTCTGTTTTTCTTGAACGACTGATAGGAGAAAAAGATATACATCCAAATTCCAGAGCAAATTCCAGGAAAATTTTAATTTTTTGTAGTTCCTAAAATTTCATTATGCATATCAACATCGATTTCTCATTAGTCTCGATATATGATTGTCAGAATTGTCAATCTGAAAAGTTTCTTTTTTATTGTGAGGGAATTTCAAGAAAACAACGAGACTTCCTTCCTGGACTGATTGAAAGAAACATTTTAAAGATAAGAGCATGAAACGAAAAATAAAAAAATCATAAAGAGAAGAACGATTTTGAGTATATATTTGTTGTTGTTTGGTTTATATATATATTGTTGCGTCAGCGAGGTCACATGACTAGTGTCACGCCACGTTTCTAGAACTATCCTGTACCTTGGTGAATGCCCTAGCATTTACTAGATATAGGGTAGTATGGTATAGAAGATGGTCACAACGTGACGGTACAATGTGTGTGTAGGTAATGAGTAATTGAACTGCAGTCAGAGAGAGACGTATTGTTGAAGTCGAGCTCGTGAGACGTGAATTATAGTTTGTTATAGCACGACTGTTGAAGTTGAGTGTATCGTAAAGTTGTATTCGGAAAGAATAAACCAGTTTTATTTAAGAAAGGATTTGTGTCGCTAAAGTTTCGTCGGAACGAAGTTACGGAAAATCAACTAACGAACGGAGACATAACAATATAGTTTTATAACATTGGTTTGTTTGTTTGTTTGTTTAGTTTCTCGTAAAGCGAGCATATTTGGTGATGAGATTCTAATACGCAACCCGCAGAGTAGGAGTCGAGCACCCTAATCAGCGGGCCATGTTATAGTATTGAAAAACATTATAATAAATCAAGTAGAGAGGAGTTAATGTATTTAAGTACTAAATCATATTTGAATTACAATCCACAAAAAAATTATCAGAATGTGAAGTGTCTTCCAAAAGCACCCTGTATGTACACTATGGATTGAAGTATAATGAACATATTATCCATTCCATTTAGTCAATCCCTTCTTATTCAAGAAAGATAAATATAAGATTAGCATAGTGCATGGGGGTGGAAGTTATTATCAAGTAGGCTGAAGTGAGGTCCAACTGAGTGACTAATCATTTACATTTCAGATTACATGATTGATCATCAGTTGCCTGATTTGCAAAATCATGAACTGTTTCGTGCAGTGCCAAGTGGCTCGAAGATTGCCACAACTTAAAGATTCAAACCATCTGAAAGTGGTATCTTTTAGCATTAATCCACATTATCAACTATTCAAACGGCCTGAAGGAGACATGTTTTATTATTAAACCACATTTTAATGACTCATGTAACTGGATAGGTTTAGCTAGTAAGCGTCTCATAAGGTTCGGCTCTTCGTTTATTTCTGTGTTTTAGGTCAAATCTTATTTCTAGTTAGATAACGTATGTTTAATTAACATATAGTATTTATTGTTCTGATGTTTATGTCGAGAAACTACTAAGAATACTTAAGGAGATGAGAACAGTCAGTTGATCTATTTACAACTCGGCGGATAATTTGATGGAATATAAAAGCTATTATGTCAATAAAGAAATAGTGAGATGTCCAAATTTAATGAGTAACGTTGATCGTACTAAAAGCGACATACACATTCTACCTAGAAACATCTATTTGATATATAACCGAGGTATTCAACTTTTTGTAGTATAACATTATTTTCAAACAAAAAATACAGTATTTGTTTATTTTCAACCTGAATGGCACCTTATGCGACACTTTGGCTAAACGGCTTGGTTAGACACCTATAAAGTTTGGGCGTAGTTATCAGTAAATAAGATTTCTGGTCAGCAGGAGGGAAATCAGTTAGTAACCGCTGCCTACTCGGCTACTTTTAACCAACAGCTAAATTGACTATCATAGTTTAAAAAACCTCACAAGTAAAACTTTTGAGCAAGTTCAGCAGCGTATTCAGCTCGAACCTTCCTATTCACAGCCCAGAAAGCTAACCATTAGACCCAAATTGAAAGTTCTCACGACGAAGAAACCGTGGCGGGGGTAATTAATAAATATAGACAACGCTGCAGTTGTTTTCAATGATGAATAATGAATATTTAGAACAAAATTTAACACTGGAAGATAACTACAGTGGCAAAATTATAATTTGACAATACCCTGGCGAGTCAGAGGTAAATTCGCGGACTTACAACGCTAAAATCCAGGGTCAATTTTTTGTGGAACACGTAGTGCATAGAGCCCACTGTGCAGCTTTGTACCACCAGTGGCTCAGCAGTAAGCTTGGGGGCTTATACGCTAAAAACCAAATTTCGATACCCATAGTGGGCAAAGCGCATATAGCCCATTGTGTAGCTTTTTACTTAAACACAAACAAACCATTTATATTTTAGCTAGTTTATACTCGAGGGATCCCCCATCCTGTTTGTTCCCAGGTGAATCAGCGGTAAGTTTATGGGCTTCCAACGCTAAAATTATGGGTGCACTTCCCCACTATGAACAAAGCACAGATATCTCATCGTGTAGCCTTGCGCTAAAATAATAAAAATAACGTTGTTTAATTTGATTGTACTGTATGTGTAATTATCATAAAGTGTTAAAATGTAAGGGTTAAGTTTCGATTTTTGGAACATCCAGTTTATAATGTTATAGGTTATTCTTAGGTCAAGTACTGTATTAGTTAAATAGTTATAAACATTAATATTTAGAAAAATACTTATTTGGTCCAGTTCAAATCAAAGCTTTTGTCGAATTTCTCAGAAAGTCCGAATATTTGGTGGTAACTCAGTGGCTACTGACAAGGATATATTAAAACCAATGAATGTTCTTCGGATAGACAAGCTTAGTGCTTGAACTTACTCAACTATAGACTGTACATTTTTTGAAGTGAATACAAATACTAACATTTATCGCTTTAAATAAAAACCACTTGTTATTTACAAGCGCATTTTCAAATTTCTTTTCTTTGAAACCTTCCCTTGTCAATAACTAAATATTTATGTTACTAATAATGGTTCTTGTCAATAAGCATAACTTACTGTAAAAATGGAAGTGTGTAAGAAGGGCGGTAAATTCAGTCTTCCAATGCCAGATGTAGTGTATTCTGTGGCATTTTCACCTTTTCACTGGATTGACTCTTTGATAGCTGTTGGTATGCGATGTCGGATAACGATACTAAGTTGTAAAATTACGGTAATTATATGCATATATAGTTTTGATAATGAATAGAATTTACCTTGAGTCCTTGTTTAAATTGTGTTTGACTTTGAATCTTTGATCTGAGCCAAATTCAACTGAATTCAAGTTGAACTGAAGTCATTTTCCAAGTAATTATCTAAACAGTGTCAATACTAATTACTATAATTCATTAGTTGATAGCTGAAATTTAAGTAAGTCTTAAGTTGCAGTTAACTCTTGAAAAATAAAATAAATAGAAATACAGCAAGTGAATTCTGATTCATGCATCATATCTGTTGTCAGCTATTCACTGAACAAAGAAAAAAAATGTGAACCTTATGGTTTGGTTATTAACCAAGCTAAACTAAATGTTTTGTTGTTGGTTTTTGAATATGTATGTAGAACAAACACTGAAAGAGAAGTATTATTAAATATTTCAAATTATTTATCGGGTATTCATCCAACTGCAGAGGGAAAAACTCCAGCATATCCAAGCATGTTATTCCAGTGACTCGGTTACTGAGGCTGCAGTGTCTTCCCATAAGTCGAGTCATCCAGTATGACTTTCGCTGAAAGTTTCAGAACAAACATATCCTGTACCTTTGAACTGCTTATGCCATGACTGTATTGCATTGTTTTATGGGCTTGGAATTACATAAGTACATCAGATTGATTTTGCAAACCACAAAATGATCCATACTTTTTACTGAACAGGCATCACTTTCTACTATTGCTGTATCAGTAGACACAATCATGAATCATTGTTTTGGCCAAAATGAGCACATTGACTAAAACCTGAAGGTTTTTAAATCAATATGTATATTAGGCTTGGTGATGGATTTCATATGTTATGGTTTTTAATTCACAATTGCTTGCAAAATTTTTAATTGTTTCAAAATGTATGGTATACCTTCTCATAGCAACATATGCAAACAACAAGGGACCATTTGATCTTTCAAAGCCATTCTTTCACACACACCCTTGAGAATAAAAATTAAAACCCACCTTTTATTATTAAGAGAAGCAATAATTACTCCTCTTAAACTCCTTTAAGTTGTGAAATAATAGTTTTACAATTATATTATTTGAGATAACTGAATAGAATGCAGTGTGAAATCAGTGCCAAATCAGACCATACAATCCATAAAAGTCATCTTTAAGTCAAAGATTGATTTTTTTATCCATCTTAAGCGAAGTCCTTCACATCCATGTATAAATATCTATTCAAGAATTATGTAAAACATTCAAAATATAAAAAAGTAAATAATTCCACAAGTTTATAGCTATATCAAAACAAATGTCAAAAATACATAATTTATAGTTAAATGCAATATCTCAGTTTAGTAAGAAGAAGTGAAATACATGATTATTAAATAAGAATAATAAATATGAGAATACATTATTATGGATACAATTTTCCGAGAAAGAGGATGTCATCCAGACTTTCTTTTATAAAGTAAATAAAGTTTTCTAATGTTAAACTTCACTAACACCATCAAGTAGGTACATACCCAAGTATTAAAGGTGAGGCTTTGCAGTCTTATTGTTAAAGTAAACTTTAATTACTGTGTGCCTGAGCAAGGTTTACTCAGTGTACTGACTAAAAATACAAAATATTAGACATTTGTCAATACATATATATATATATATATATATTGAAAAATAAAATCACTTTAAAGTGTAAATAACAGTGAAAGATGCCCATAAACATTTGGGGGTGAGTTTCAGTCTAGTAAAATTATGTTATCTTCACTTGCTACTCTTTAAAGTAGTGTTTCTTAGCCAAATTTGCCAGACGACCCCTGCATCTGGGCTTTGATCTTCACAACCCCTCATTATCTCTACAAGGATGAAAAAACATGCCAATTTTATATTTTGATTTAACGCAGACAGCTCACAAGTCCAAAGGGGATCATGACCCACTGTTTTAGAAACTGCTTTAAAATTTGGGCATGTCCTTTGTACTCCAGGAGGCCATCTCTGACATGAGTGAAGTGTGGTGAGCTAAAACATCATTGAACAGAGCTGCATGGATGTTCATTGATAGATTATAAATCAAGTGAATTATAACAACATAAGAAAATTAAGCAAGGTGACAGAAAACCCAATGAAATTACTTGCTATTCAAAACATTCCTACAAAAAAATGAACTCTTATTGATTTTTTTCAAAACTGCTAAACACTCAACAGAATTTATTTAGAAGAATAATGTACCCTACCATATGTTGTAGTTGTTCAGTTCTATAAAAAAAAAAAACGTAGGTTTATGATTTAGAATTGAATGTAGTAGCATTACATCAGATTATTGGTATTATTTTTTACAATAGGTTTAAATCTTTAATGCCTTTGTTGAAAAGTTTTTTAAAACTGTTAAAATCTTGTTCCCATAAACCCAGATGATTTAATAGAAAAAGATGTAGGCTAGAGAATGCAGGTTTAAGGCATGGTTACAGACAGTAAGAATCCATTTCATCTTGCAAAGTTGTTCTTGTACCTCCTCCTCCCCTCCCCCCTCCTAAGGAAAAGTAAAAGTTTAACCTAACATCTATTTTTCACAAACAGTTACCCAATTATTCTTGTAAGGTACTGGCCTCAACTACTGCTAACAGCAGTTCATTATATAAGTTACAAAAAGTCATAACTAGATCATAGCCTGTTTTTTAAATATTTTAAGCTTGTGTCTTTAGAATGTAGCAAAAGGACATGGGCATGTATCCTACCATTTCCTGGATGATCTTGAAAACTTCAATATGATTACCTTTTTACCCTGCTTTTGTTGAGAGAAAACAACAGATCTTAATCTCTCCCTGTAGGATAACCTTTCTGTCTCCATAGTCATCCTAATAGCCCACCTCTGAACTCCTTTCCAGTAAGTTGCTATACTTCATAGATAAAGAAACCAAACTTACACACAGTATTGCACTTAAAGCATCACTATTGATTTATTTATAGAAATAATTACCTTTTCTTACTTTTAATCAATATGTGTATGAATACATCCTAATATGCTATTATCTTTACATGTACTAGCAGCAGAATACTGCCTCTTTCATTTGACTGACTTATCCACCATTATGCCAAAATCCTTGTATTAAGTCATGATAGTGAGTGGGTTCCCATTTTAAATTTGTGATCTAGATTATAGCCAAAATGCATTACTTTGCAGTTAGGGTTACTGTTTTTTTTTTTCAACTTACCAAGGTCAAAGTACTAAGTAGTACTTCAACATCCTCTGTATAGCTGTAACTTCTAAGAGTTTAATGTCATCACTAAACTTTAATCATTTTATTATTATGAGCCTATCAGTATCATTTATTTGAATAAAAAATATCAAAGACCCAAGCACTAATTCTGGGGCATGGTAATAACAAAGGCCTGATTTGACTGGACTCCATTAATAAGAGCCTGTTGCTTTCTTTATCCAACTACTATACAATCCAATTAACTAGACTTTCTCAACTCCTACCAATTTAAATTTTCGTCTTTCTTTAAGTGTATTTATGTACATATTTAGATGAAACATTTTGTTGTATATATCTATACAGTTTATTAGAAGTTTATCTTGTTAATTTTAGTATGTTATATTTTAGTCAATGTTAAAGGGCTCTTTTATGCTGCTTTTATTTCATACTGTAGAAACATCGAAAAGTATTTTTGTGATGTGAGGTTATGCACTGTATTAATTATTATTCAGTGTGTTATTTTTGTTTTTTGTGGGGATGATTACAACTATTATACATATGTACTACAAGGGTTATTTTGTTCTGAGGAATTGTAGTTTTGTATTATGATTGAGCTCATTTTGATGTTGAAGAGTATTTCCATATTAAATCTATGTTGGTGGGTATTTGCTATTTATTGCACATTTATATTTATACATAAAGGATTTGTTTGTATTTGATGTTAAAGGGTATGTATTAAGATTATTGATTACTATGTCTAACATAACTTAAAGAGTTTCCTTCTTTCTTTTATATTGTGTTTTGAGATTTGGATTTCATATTGTTTTATTTCAAATGTATTCCTTTTTAAAAAGTGAATCATTTTTAAAAGGTCTTATGACTGCTGTGAAAACTGTTAAAAATAGTTGTAAAAGGTATTTATCATGTATTAGCACGTATTTGCAACTACTTTAAAAGGTTGTGCCATCTGTGTTGCATTAAGTGTTTACAGGGGCAAGAGAAGGTTACTGCATAGGGTGCATGTATAGTTTATTGATCTTCACATTCTAATTAATTGTTGGCTTGAAGATGAGTTTGAAGTAAGGGAAAAAGTGTAGTATATAAACATACCATGTATTTTCTACTTTCTTATATTGATATAGTATTATCCTATATTTAACAGTTATTATGTGTGCAATTTTCACATAACACATGGTCGAGAAAGTCATTAAGTTGATTTTTTTCAGTTTTTTTTGTTACTTTGTCATTCTGTTGAGACCACACTTGTTCTGCCTATGAGAGAAAAGGCTGTAATGCTACACATTGGGCAAGAATGTAGGCAACAATGTTCTTCAATGGCAGTTCAGGTGGTCTTTAGGTTACCTCCTCCTCCATCCTGGAATGAAAATGACCAGTCACAAGGGTAGCACTAGTTACTCTTTGTAAATCTGACAGTACCTGTGAAGTTTGGAAACAGTCTGGTAAATGATCTTGGACTGATGAGTTTGAGAGAAAGTTCCAATCCCGTATAATTGACAGTCCATCATCCAAAGCAAGTACACACACTGTGTCAGGATGGCGACACATCCATACATAGTACTCCTTGAGTACTTTCTGCATATATAAAGCTCACTCTTTTCCTTGACCCTGAAGTATTTTTGCACTTCTTGTTTTTCTCTTATCTTTCTTACCTTCATATTTTTGATATTATGAAAGAAAATACAAATGTGTAAGGTGATTTCGGTTGGAACTTCTATGTTACTTTTGATTTCTTCTATTAGACAAACTACATGATTTTTGAATACATGTACCAGTTTGTGATATGGTTTATTTGACCAATAACCTAGTGCTTAGGTTTCTCTTACTCCAGTTGTTTCTGCAGATTCTTGGGTGAGCTTCTTCCTACATGTACCTCAACTCTTAGATTTTTCCCCTCTTCATTTCTCACCAGATTGTTGCATTATTGCAGATTCTTTCTGTCTCTCCTTTGTTTTGACTGTCAATTACCACGTCCTCCCAGACTTAAGATGCCTTCTCTGTTTCTTGGGTTGGACTTTTCTCTCTTTTTCTAGTGCTCCTATCCCTCAAATCTCTTCTCCCAGCTTGGGGATTTTATTCCTTTTCTACTTTGATTCTCCTTTACCATTATTCTCATCTTTTATTGCTTACTCTCCTTATCTTGCTGTCCTCTTTTACCCTTCTGATGCTTTACATCGCAATCCCAATAGTATTAGTGATGAAGGGCCACAGGACAACCCCTAAGATACTTCTGCATGAAAAAAGGGTGCCAAATGGAGTTCTCCGAGATAAAACTCAAGAAAATATCCCAATGAAGCAAATTCCAGACACAAAAAAAGCAAGTTAATTGGGTAACAGAAGAAAAATATCTTATTGTGACCTTTTTGGTGTCTCCCCAAAAGAGGAGTCTGTCAGTCATCATGGGGCTCAGTGATCAGTTGTTTCTGGAACCACACCTCAGCTTTGGTGAGGTCCTCTCTCTTTTGGGGATCTCACCTTTCTCTCTCATGTCCCTTCCTCTAGATGTGTACTTTTGTGTCCCCATTAGTGGATTCTAACAGATGAGTGGAATATGCTGATGCTTCTCTATCTTCTCACATTTCTCTACCTCCATTGCTGTAGTGGTGGTTCAAACATTTCTTTATAACTATGGGCATCCACCCTGTCAACTTACATCTGTTCATAGATGTCCCTAGCTGGGTGTGGTGCAGTTTTGGATACATTTACCATTTTTGACGGTAATTCTACTGCAAAGCAGTCTTTTCACATAATGTCCTTGGGATATGGGTATCTCAATGGGCTTATTATCATCTTTTTATATAGCTGTCTAGACATCCTGTTTTGATTTATGTCTCAAAAACATTGTTGTTTCTTACATTAACCAACAGAATGGTATTTACTCTCAGAACCTCTGCTCTCTTATTCTTAAGATCCTCTTTTGGGCTCACTATGACATCTGATTGTTGGCCTTCCTTTTTCTGGGAGGTTTGAATTTAGTGACAGATTGGCTGTCTCACCTGTATTAAATCCTTCCAATAGTGGTCTGTACATCTGCTGGTATTTCTGTTGATTTTTTCCCACTTTTCCCTGTTATCAATGCATGTGACTCCCCTGTACACCAGACTTCCACATTTTTGGTCAACAGCCCCATATTCCATGGCCCTAATGGTATTTTCTCCGAGTCTGGATTGTTTCACTGTCTTTCTTTATGCTTATCCTCTTTGGCTTTTTCCCTGTGAATTAAAGACAGCACTCCTTACCAGGTTCTTCTCATTGCCCTTCTTTGGTTAGTTCATTTGTGGTTTCTGTTCCTTTCCTTCTTGGCAATCCTGAAGCCTCTATCACTTCCATCATGAAGGTACCTTTTTATGTCATCTCGGATATCTATGCCTTCCTCTTTGTATGTTCCTTTTGCAAAAGGAGCAGGTTTTCGTTGCACAATTGCTCATTTTCTTGCTTGTTGTTCATCATCCACACTTGCAATTTATCATCACAAATCAATGGTTTATCAATGCTGGTCCATTTGCCTCTCCCTTCTTCCATATCATGTGGTTCTTCATCATATCATTTCCTTTTTAATTGAATTTTCATGGGTATACTTTATATTTTTACAGTTGCTGGTTACAGGGTGTCTTTATTAATGAATTTATGCATTTTCATTGGACATTTTCCTTTTCTTTCCCTGATTATTGTGGATTTCTTCTGAGTCTTCCTAATTAGTGGTCCTCATTATCTGGTACCTCTTCCCAGCTAGAATCTCTGTTTAGTTCCCAGGGTTCTTGCATGTCCTTCATTAAAACTTTTGGCCATCTGTTCTTTGTACCTTCTTTCTTTTAAGATATGTTTCCTTCTTCTTCTCAGTTGCAGAAGAGGTTGCTCTGCTATTTTTGCCTTTGCTGCTTCCTGAACTCTTCACCTCAGAGACAGGTTGATTTTATACCCAAATCACTCTTCCTACCCAAGATGTTGGCTGCTCAGATGTTTCTCCTTCATATTCCTCTTTGTATGATCATTCAGATCTCAATCATCTCTTGTGTTATGTTCAGGCAGTTTGTTGTTACCTCACTTACATTGCTCCCAATCAAGTCAGTTCAGTCAACATCACTTTTTTGTCATGTATTTCTCTCCTTCTACCTGACTGGTTAGTTTAAATGACTCATTTATTGTTTCTTTATGAGAGATGACTTCTTTTGTGCTTTTCATCATGTCATGGCTTCTCTTGGATCAAGCCACTGATATACCATGAATGAGATACTGCAGGTAGAAATGTGGACAACTGACAACTATGTGTCACATAATTTAGACTACATTGCCTTTGTTTTGTGTCCCTCCAGTCAACATTCTCCAACCTTCCCAGAAACTTTAAAGCAATGACTTGTTGATTATTTCTTTTTCTTTCAGCTTCCACAAACAATAAACAAACACTCAAGATACCATAAAAAATATATATGAAACCCACCTTTTGGCCAATTTCGATTCACATGGAATAGTTCTCTGTTGCCAAATGTGCATCAAGCTGGAATATAAAAAAATTTAAATCTATATATCCCTGCTTAGTGCTTGGAGATGATATTTGGGTTTTCTGCAACTCTGCTTCGCAATTTATATATTTTACCCTCCAAAATGTGCTGCTACTTCCAAGCAAAACAACAGCAACAAAAGTAAACAGCACTGAGTATGGTCCCCTGCCTTCACATATGGCCAGCTTCTGCTGTCTGTAATTGTCTTTCAGTGGGACCTTATACATATGATTGATTATGCTTGTTCAATCCATGCATCTCCTCACTGTTTTCTTCTATATAAATTCCTCTCGTTCTCTTCTAGTGGTGTGCGAGAAACCTCATTCACCCAGAATCAAGCCCCTAGGGAGGTCAATATGAAGAGTTCTTCAAGTCAGTATAACCCCACTGGTATGAGATGGTGGCGATGCATCCATTGATCAGAAGTAGATCAAGGTTGTCTACCTGGGAGCATAGCTAGGTCATTCCCTACACTAAGAAACAGACAATCCCTAGTAGTTTTGACCAGCTTTAAGGGTTTTATACTCTTTGGGATGCAAGTTTGGGATGATTCATCCCAGCATTTCTTATTCTGTCAAGTATATCATGTATTTCTCACGTACTGGACAACTTGACTTGTTGCCATAGCTACACTACTACTAATACTTGAGATACACAAGCCAGTTGAGCAGCCTTTACATTCTGCCCACCTTTATGACACTTTATCACCACTCAGAAGTTTGTTTTTGCAGTGCTTTTTCCACTACGAGTTGTATTTTCAAAGAGTATTCCCTGCTTGAAATGGGTTTGGTCCCCTATCAGCTGATGCTCTCACTAGCCCCTCCACCTTATAGTGGATAACAGACTCATAGCAAATTCGATGACGAGGAACCCACTTTGAGATTAATAATGACTGGAACGACTTGAATGGGTAATTAAGAAAAACTTTAATATAAGTTTAACATAACAGCAAATGTACAACGTTTCAACAAGGTTTTGTCATCATCAGGTACAGGTAATTTACACTGACACAGATATATATATATATATATACAGTATTGAACAAAGAAGTCACATGACCAGAACTGTTGTTACATTACATTGATGCCTACCCTGACATGACCATGATAGGATAAACTGCATACCAACAATCAGGAATATATAACTTCCAACTGCAGTAATATTAAAGTCATGAAGGGATGATCTGTGTATATATGTATCATCCCTATATTTTTCTTTGCATTCTTTTTGGCACTGCCATCCCTAAGTCACTTTATATTTACAAAATGTTTATTATTTGTATTGTGGCATTTTGTTCCCTGACTGAAAGTTAGTGTATTCTGTGAGTGTATGTAGTAAAATGTAATATTATATTTATACATTTTTTTTAACTCCTTCATACATAATATAGGAGTTGGCTGCCTAAAGACACCTATCGTATAGTGTACAAAGAATTGAGTATTCTACATGTTACAGTAATCTATTATTGGCTGGTAATTCTTGTTTCACGCTGTACTTAAGCTTTTTAAAGGAACAACAGAATTCTGTAGGAAAGCTAACTTCAAGGGGTAATGATAACATTGCTTACACTAGAATTATGACCTTGTTTTTTTAATTACTACTAGATATTACAGCTAAGTGATGCATTGCCCAGAAACTCTTAGAGTGGATTTAGGTTTAAACTGATTTTACTGATAAAGTAGTTGTAGAGTTATCTTGACTGAAACAAGAAGAAACATGAACAATTTGGTGGGTTGGTCACTTTCTGGTTTCTTGCCTTGTTTTTGGGTGTGTTGGGTAGAGAAATAAATGAAAGTGAGTGTCAATGATTTTTTAAAGGAAAACTCTCTGTCATTGTTCATTTTTTAGCATGCATACTTGTATTATGCTTATTGAGTACCTTGGCCATCCCTACATATAGTCTACCAACTTTGTTATAATGGAGAGTAATACATATTGTTTTCCTGTTAGCTTGGTTGATTTTCATTCAGTATTTATAGGAAACTATGTATAGGTAGGAAGTAAAGTGCATAAAATTTGGCTTACTTGTAATAAAAATGGATTGGAGAAAAACTAGAATTCTCTGCTAGTGACAACTAAAAATCTTAAATCCATTAACAGGCACAAAAAAGGCTTAATTGTAGTGATTTCTTGCCATAATTTACCTAATTTACTAATGTTCATGGAGAACAGCATAATTGTGTAGCAATGTATGTGAAAATTGTGAATGTATTGATATATGTTTTCATTGAATTAATCTAGGATGATGATTCTGGGGAAGAAAATGCTAATTTTGATATCTTACGAGACTTTAATCATGGATGTCGTGTCCAGGCAATAGCATGGAGTCCTCAAACAACATTGACCCTCATTCCAAAAAGTATAAAGTAAGACATTTTAATGAGTATTCTTTTTATATATATATATATATATTTATTTACCTTGACCATGCATAATGTAACATAGTTTCTCAAAAAAGCTGTTTTTTTTTGTCTGTGTATATTGTCTGACAAACATCTACAATATCTTAGATTTACAGAAAGTGTTTTAATATAGTGCTTATAGTATATAATTTATATTTACTACTATCCGTTGAGAACTAATTTTGTTAAACAGCTTAAATGAGGTAATTTAATTGGAAGGCAGGTCACAGAAGCATTGTCCTAATATTCATTCAATTTTAATATTCCTCTTTTAACTTTAAGTTTTGTGAACGTAATTAGTTGAGGTTTTGTAAAGTTTAATGACTGAAAGTGTATATTTAAACTTTATCCTTACACAACAGATTATTAAACAAAATGAACTCATAAAGTCATCAGTTTTTCTTGTACTTACATTATGTATGACTTCTTTGATTTGATGAAATTCTATTAAAAGAAATTGTGAAACTGAGAAAATGTGTTGTGAAGACGAGATTAAATTTTAGAGTAACACCATTCATCCTAACAAAGCTTCCAAAAATATTTGAACGTATTTTAAAGCAGTTATTAGACTTAGATGTATGTTTTTTTTTATACTGTTTTAAATAATGTCAATTTCCAATCTTTCAAAAGTCTTCTCTGATCTAAATAGTTAGTAACCAGAAATTATAGTTGTATGAGATTTTATAAATGTTTTGGGGATATTACAAATTTATTCCAAGAATATTAGTGGCTCCTTATAATACCACCAGCATAGTGTAGCAGTGCTCATGAAAAGGAAAATATCTTTAAACTGTGGTGCTCAATTGGCCATGAACATGCCTTAAAACTGTGGTATGTAGCTGGCTATGAACATGCCTTAAAACTGTGGTATGTAGCTGGCTATGAACATACCTTAAAACTGTGTTACTCAGCTGTTCATGAACATGCCTTAAAACTGTGGTACTCAGCTGTCCATGAACATGTCATAAAACTGTGGTATGTAGCTGGCTATGAACATACCTTAAAACTGTGTTACTCAGCTATTCATGAATATGCCTTAAAACTGTGGTACTCAACTGGCCATGAACATGCCTTAAAACTGTGGTACTCAGCTGTCCATGAACATGTCATAAAACTGCGGTATGTAGCTCACTATGAACATACCTTAAAACTGTGGATTCGGTTGACCATCGTAAATTTTGTTTCTTCCCAACATATTTATTAGTTTTATGTTACAATATATTGACTTTTTTCTTTTTTAACTCCCTTTTCAATATTCTGTGTGTTTTCTGTTTTTAGGTTTGCTACTGCAGGTGGAGATAGGAAGATCAGAGTTTTCTCTTCAGACTTAAAGAATGATGACACTGTGCAGGTACAGCTAAAGTATCAGGGTTTTAAGCATTGTTAATATTTGATTATAGTAGATAGCCTCTGTGTATCTTCAAGTATCTGAAACAGACAAGACAAACTGAGTTCTATTCAGTTTCAGTTTGACATGGACTGTATTTCATGTTTTATATTATATTTGTCAAACTTTAATATGATTTCATTTTTACTCATAATGTTTGTTAGATATACATGACTGTTTCATTTAAATTTAGTATTTTTAGAAGCAATAATTTATCACAGGTTTGCTTACGTAACTGTTTGTGAATCATTTGTTGTGTACTTCAATTGTGAATTGATGTCATGTTACTTAAACTTTCAAAATTTTTCTTGTTGCTCTAAGTTTATAGAAAGATCTACACCTCAGTCAGACAAAATGTAAATATATAAGTGACCAAGCTAAAAGAAGTTAAGCAAGTTAGTGAAAGTAAAAGTGAAGGTACACTAGGTGTGAGTTTAGCCTTAATGGGCAATTTCTAAAACAAGTTTCACAGCTTTTATTGTGTTAACAGAGTTATAGGAGAATAATCTGTTTTGTCAAAAGAGTATTCTAAAGTAATTGAACCAGCCTGGTTGGACTTTTGATGTAAAATATAATTATTTATAGCTCTGGATATAACTGTGGTAACCAATGGGGTAACACAAGTGAATTTATCACTGATTGTATTGCGATAACAGAGTAGAGAAGAAATAATTGATCTTTTTAGTTGGGCTCTGAAGTAACTGAACCAGCCTGTGTGGACTTTTAATGGAAAAGAGAATTATTTAAAGCTCTGGATTCAACTGTGTAACAAATTTTTGTACAAACGTTTGACTTCTTTTGAATATATTATTTTAAATCAAGTTGATTGTGTACTGTCCATTTATTGTTGAAATTTATCATCAACAAGTCATAGGCACCTACTAAAAAATAAATACAATGAACATCCAATTTCTTTAGGGGTATTTTTATTTTATTTCAAAATTGAAAAGGCTAATATGATTGATCAATAACCAGTTTGTTTATTCAACCAGCCATTGTGACTTTCATGACTAATTCCTAATGCTAATGTAATAATATATGTGTGTGTATGTATACAGTTAAGGCTAAGAATTTTTAACAAATGCATCATTTTTGTAAAAAAAAGGTGTTTTTTCCTGACAACTTTTCAAAACACTTCACTGCTACAAGTCATTCTTTTCAGTCTTGATAAATTCTGAAATGGTAGGCATTGGTAAATCTTATGAACAGTGCACCAGTCTTTTATACCCTTATATTTTTTGTGTCATTGCAGCAACATGTGCTGATCATGTGACCACCTTCCACCAATCTCATTGTGCAAGTATCTCCATCTACCATTGCAGTACAATCCTTACTTTCTTGATTGGCACTATAGTGTTCAGATGTGTGTTTTCAGTTGTTATTCAAGCAAACTGTTTTCTTGCTAGTTTTCACTTTTAATTGGAATTATATGTTCATTTAGTAGTTACTTTACTATAATTTTTTTTTTAAAAGTTCACATGGACTTATGAATTCGAACTTTCATGTGGCAGATTAAGAAGTTCCCACCGATATGGACAAAACTCATGTCACTAGTCTCCAGCGTAGCAAGTTGCCAATGTCGTCCGGGAAAATTCAGGCATTAAATCAGCAGGAGTTTTTCATCAGGGGGAATACGATTTCAACTCTGCTTTTCTTGCCCCGGCTATTTTCAGCCAGTCACTTAACACTGACAGTCAGGAGAGTCTGTTGACCATGCCTTTCTTACACCTTATTGATCAGGTTTGTCAAATTCAATTTCTCCCCTTTAGCCATTAATTCTTTTACTTCTTCCTTGCTGGGAGAGGAGCCTCATTCCAATTATTATTATTTTCCTCCCTCTCTCGACATTCTTGTTCAAGCTCAACATTTTGCTGTGCAAGTACAGTCGGAAGTGGGTATGCTTCTTCCCCTTCAGCTTTTGGACCAATTCTCTTGTGTTTACCAACACTCAGAATCCCTATTTAGATTCTGAGTGTTTTTTAGATCCTCTCCTTCCATTGTGGGGTTCAAATCCTGATGCCTTAGTTCATTTTATTCATTTTAATAGGTCCCAGTTTACTACAATTTGCATGACATTGACCAATCTTTTACATGTTCTTTCCTCTTTACATTTGTTGTCTCAGACCTTCCACCAGTCTCCTAATCAGTTCTCAGCTGATCTCTGGAACCTTCCTGTGGTCTACTATGACACGGATGTTGGCTTCAGCCTTGTTCCTCATCATTTGGATTTTGTGTTGTTGGAATTTACTCGGGAGGAATGCATTACTTGCGGGGGTGCGTCTTCCCTTTTCATCGTTATGGGAACTTCATCAGGCCCAGCTTCTGCACGAAACGGTTTTTGGGGTTTTTCCCGAGTCTTTCGAGTCCAGGGTCAATGCATGGAGATTGCTCTGTCCTTCCTTGTTTCTTGTTTGTCTCGCCCTATTAATTCTGTTCCATCTTTGCCTGTTCAAGTTCCCCATGCTCCTTCTTCTTCTTTGTCCCACCCTTTTCCCTACCCCCGACATTCCCTTCCTTATGCCCATTCTTCCCATTCCTCTCTGCCTCATCATTATCAGTGATGGGATGTCTTTCCATGGGCAGATGGGGGCCAGGTTACAAGTCTTTTCTGCAATCTGGTAACCCTTCTCAACAGATCCATGGGTGTTACAGGTTCTGTCAGAAGATCTATGCATTCAATTCTGGTCCCCTCCTCCCCTGTCCTCTTTCCCGGTTTCTTTTCCTCCTCCTTGAGAACGTGTCTTCTCCAGTCATCCAGCAGAGTCAGTTCTCGATCTACTTCACAAGGGTGCCTTAGAATGTATGGTGTCTGTTCTTCCGTTTTGTTACTCCTGTCTGTTTGTGGTCCCCAAAAAGATGGGAGATTGGGATTATCGATCTATCCCAGCTGAATGCCTTTCTGGACACCATGGATTCATCCTGCCACTCTCTTCGGTGGATTTTTCCCTGGGTCTTTGGATGACCAAATTCAACGTGACAGATGCTTACTTTCATATCTCCATTGCTCAGTAGTCACGTTTTCATCTTCAGTTTGTCCATGGGGAGGATGTGTTCCAGTTCCATGCACTACTGTTTGGTTTTGCCTCAGCTTCTTATATGTTCTGTCAGGTTGTCTGTGCCTTTGCACATCATCTTCATTTGTTGGGTTTTCGGATTCATCATTATATGGACAAGTGGCCCCTGCTCGCCTATTCCGGAGCCCAATATGCCAATCACACCTGCTTCCTTCTTTAGGAATTTGCTCAGGTGGTGTTTCTCATCAAGGTGTAGAAGTCCTTCCTCATTCCCACTCAATACCTCATTCATTTAGGGGTCCTCTTCATTTCCAATCTTGGTCAGGCCCAACCTTCTCCACTTCAGCTCCTGGATATGAAACGAGCAGTCACTCGGCTCTGTCTTCACCTTCTCTTATTACTCTAGAGGTTCTCTCTTTTGAGGACATTGGCCTTCCTGGAAGCTCTCATTCCCTTAGGTCAAACACATGTGTTCCATTCAGTGGACACTACTCGACCAGTGGAACTTCTCCTGTGATCCCTTGGATCATCCTATTAACCTTCCCTCAGGGATCAAGACTGACCTTGTTTGGTGGCTCGACAGGGCTCTTACCATGATGGTGTGGAGGGTGGTCCTCTTCCTCCGCCTTGTCCGACTTGCATCTGTTCACAGATGCTTCTTTGGTGGGTTGGGGGCTTCTCTCAACTCTCGGGAGATTTAGGGCCAGTGGTCCATTGAGGAATCTACTTACCCTATCAACCACTTCGAGCTGTTGGTGGTTTTTTGGGCTCTCACTCCTTTCCTACCACTCTTACAAGAGCAAGTGTTTATGGTTCATTCCGACAATTCAACTGTTGTCAGGGTGCCAAGTCCAGGACCCTGTGTTTTCTCACACTCGACCTCTTATACTGGGCTTGCAGCTACAACATCATACTCTTGGCTTGTCATGTTCCGGGTGTTATGAATCTGGATGCAAACAATCTATCCTGCCCCAACCAAGTTCTTCCTATGGAGTGATCCCTTCATCCAGATTTTTTTCAGTGGGTGGGTTCTCGCCTGGGTATGCCTCATATCGATGCATTTGCAACCCTTTGGGATGACAAACTTCCTTCCTTTTGGTCTCCTCTCCCACAACCCTCAGCTCTGGGAGTAGATGCATTCAGTCAGGATTTGAGGGACCTTCATCTCTCTGATTACCCTATAATCAGACTCCTCTCTAGGGTTCTTTCTCTCATACAGACCACTCCTTGCTGTGTGTTGCTAGTTGCTCCATATTGGCTTGCTCAATCATGGTTTCCTCTAATTTGGCCCTTATGGGAGCAGTAACCCCTTTCCTTAACTCCATCCAGGCCTCTACTCCGGCAACCTTGATCTGACATGTTTCATCCAGACGTCACCAAACTCCATCTTTATGTGTGGCTTTTGTCCAGTCCATTGCCTCCTCTGAGGGACTCACTACCCATGTAGCTTCTTTGCTTACCCATCCATATGTTGTTCATCATTGGTCTACCTTTTGCCAGTGGTCCATTTGTTGGGGATTCTGTCCCTCAGTTTCTCAATTGTGCAGGTTCTTTACCTGGTTATTTGATCAAGGTTTGTCTGTGTCCACTGTTTCTAGTTGTTATGCTGCTCTGTCCCACACTTTTTCCTTCTCCATTTCATAGAATCTTCTCCTCCCATTATTTCTATTCTTTTCCATTCCTTTCATATTGTTTGTCGTCCCTTTTGGCTTCTGAAATGGGATCTCTATGTCATTCTTCATGCCCTTGCCCATTCTCCTTTCAAACCTGTTGCTCTGTGTTCTTTGTACCACCTTTCCTTTAAGACCTATTTCTGTCTCCTTCTCATTAGTGGTCTTCATCATTCTGATATTTATGTTCTTAATGCTTTCTGCACCTTTACATGCTTCTTATGTTCTCCTTTATCCCAGTCGTTCCTTCCTTCCCAAGACATCTGCTGCTCCTGAGAGT